ATCAGCTATTGGGAAAATTCTCGCCTTGAAATCTTACGATCACGTGTTGCACAAGAAAAATTTACTAAGTACAACATGGACATGTCCCTTAACTATTATTATCTTCAGAAATTGGTTACAGTAACGTGACCGTACGTACGACGTCTTCAGCCAGTCGAACTGTTCCGCTTTAGCCTTTTCCCTTATTGGGAAATGTAAATGCAGCTCAGTTCTCAATAAAGAACCTGTTTGCGACACAATATTTCAAAGCTGATGACTGGCTGAAGACGTCGTACATACGGTCACGTTACTGCTGGAAAGCTAATATTGTGGCTAATCAATTAGACCTTTTTCATATGTTCCAGAATGTGACCAATGATAATCAATGCGCAGAAATTCGCGTTTTTCTGCAGTGTATGATGAACAAACAAATACTTTATTATAAAACAGCGCCGGTTAACTCACTCCAGAAATCAACCACAACGCAATAATATCGTTGAAATAATATTAATATATTGTTTAAAGTAATAAAACAAATTTGTCGAATTCCGCCACTAATAAAATGCTTCTGTTCACAAGCAAATTTCTTTTTGGAGTATTTTTTGGATATTAACAAAGACTATGAAGCCCAGAAAGTTACCGAAAACGAAACTATCAGCGAACAAAATTTATCTGCCAGATATCGAAACGTTGTGGAACGATTTGAGAACATTATACGATAAAAAACCGCAAAATTTTCATTTAACAAAACGCGTTTGAAATCCATAAGTTGCTTGGCGAAGAAAAGGTTGTTGCTGCTCCCACAATACAAAACTTTTGCTTACAAAGAACAAACCCAAGGAAGAACACCATCAGGGCAATTCAACATTGAATTGACGAAGAGAAGAAGAAATTGTAAACCATGAGGATGACGAAAATAAAAATAAAAAAATAGATAATAATAGTGATAGAATGCCAAAAAAATAGGATATACTCATAAATGACTTTGGGTCCGAGTATTTTCCTTCCATGCAATCACACTGGTGCTTTTATATTATTTATACTACAAGAGCGCGCGTTCAATAATTAAAATAATAAATTTTATTCAACCATTCATAGCTTCATGGACATATCCATTTTAATGGTTCTTGGAAGCCTTTATGAAGATAAAATTGCTGTAATGGTTCTTAGAGTTAATACAAAATCAGCGTGAATATCCAAGAGAAATATTAAAATTACTGAGCATGTGTTATCCACTCATGCTGTAAAGCAGTTTTGGCTGTCATCCTAGCACTAGATCTGCATTCTGCAGATTTACCATAAAGCTTCTCCCTATCTCGGACAATATCACTGACTCCCCGTTAAACAACTTTCCGACCTGATACATATCTGACGAGCATGTATACTTTCCAAGTTCTAAGGTATTCATATCCCAACCCATCAAACTTTCAAACTGAGGTATCTCATTCGCCAGACCAGAATGCTCGAAGTCAATAAGAACATATTTGCCGTCGATGGTCCACAAAATGTTCGACCATCGGATGTCTCTTGGACAAAACCAGAGTCGTGGAGTGTTACAAGCCCGTTAAGGATATCCTCAATGATCATCTGAAACTCATCTTCCGTTCGTGGCAGACGGTGAAATCCTTGAGTTCTCAGTGTCACCTTGTAAAATCCTTTCTTTACGCTTGGCAAGTCTTTGGCATGCACTAATCCGCGCTTGTGCCTTGCCAGTTCATAGATCTGCGTAAGCGTGTTTACATTGGCGAACGGGTACAAACGATTAAACGAAGAAATACGCTTCTCAACAAAATTGTCATAGAAAGTGATCGTGCTATCGCCCTTTTTCAATGTGCGCCCCAAGGGGCAATACGTTCGTTGGGAGGGTATCCTTGATGGTAATCATGATACGGATAATGTTGATGACCGCACGAATTGCTTGAAGCCGATCGACCCGGATAGTCAAATTGAGTCGGTCGGTCAATGGGAACAAAGTACCTAAGCGATTCAAAGCGAAGAAACGGATGTAGCTCCCTGCTGCTGCATAGCTGAGAATGAAATCAATGTTGCCGAAGTATATAGGAATAATGGATGCCAACTTGGAACGAAGTTCTTCACAGGCGGCGTCAAACTCGCTTTGTGATGCCT